TGCTTTTCCTGTCGAGCTTCGGCAGAAAGCAACTCTCCGCGAATGGGTCCTTGCGCCAGTTCCCAAGGTCTTGTTGGAGCGCATTTCCGAAATTCGAGTATGTCAAAAGGATCGCCAGCAGAGGCACGTTTTGCACCGCTACTTCCGCAGACGGCAATCCCTCTGCGAATGGCCCCTGGTGCCAATTCGGCAGAGGGTTTTGTACACTCTCGACTCTGCCGAGGCCGTCTCTACAAAAACCACCTGTCGTTGTAGAATCCATATGCAGAGAAACGCCACTGTTGTGCCACTTCGACATAACCGCTTTTCTGCCACTTTGACGTAAACACTCTGTTGCCAATTCGACGGAATCACTGTTCTGCGACGAGTATTTCCCACCGAGCCTCGCCTTGTCGACGAATCTGCTCTTTGTCGACAAGCCTTTCTGCAGGGCTTCTATCCACAGGCTTCGTTGATATGCTGCTTCAGCAGACGGGGAGACAGTGGGGGAAGCGAGTATAGAAGGAGACAGACTCGTCAAAGGTGATGTCACGCGAATGAAAGGAACATTGAAACGATGGATGGTAGAAGTGCCAGACAGAGGCGTCTAGGGGGAAACCAAGGAAGACACAAGGAACGGTACGGACAGTGAGCTTGTCCGTGCCAGAGGTGCGGGTGTGAGCTAGGCACCCCCATGACCATAACGATGCGTTGCTTAGCAACCCCATTATGCTGAGGGGAGTTCGGCAGTGGGTACGACTGGGTGATGCCCTCCGCACGACAGAACTGGCCAAGCCGACCGGAGGCAAACTCACCGCCATGGTCGGAGTGAAGACAAAGCACTTGCTGGGCACGGTGGACTCGAGCAGCTACAAGCCACGGGATAAGAACATCAGGCACGTCGGCCTTCCGTTCCACGGGAAACACCATGGTGTACTGCGAATAGTCGCATACGAGAACCAGAAAGTAGCGCTCACGATGCGGCCCAGGGACGGGAGCTGGGCCCCAAACGTCCAGGTGCAGGGTCTAGAGTGGCGCAATGGTGGGGGGAAACGAGGAGTGAGGAGCACGGTGCATCCGGCCCTCGACGCAAGGCGTGCACGGAGGCGCGCGTGAGGGAGAGAGGGCAGGGAGCGATGCAAGGAGACCTAAGACAAAACCGTGGTGGGACATGTGTCGTAGACGCGGGAGTGCAGGCTGACCTAGGCGCACCAAGGTGGTGGTGCCATAGAAGTGACGGATGAGTGAGCAACCGACACGAGCAAGCCGCAGCAACCTGGGTGGAAGCAACCACGTGGGGGGACACGGTGTCCAGCGTGAACAGGCCAGACACAGGGTCCCGGGAGAACGTGATGAGGGGGGCACCAGTGGCGGCCTCAGCACAAACTGTGTACCGCTCGTGCCCAGTTACGGTGATGGTGACGCTGAGGTCCTGAAAACAGCTGACACCAACCAGGTTCCTAGAGAACGAGGGGATGGGCAACCTTATAAAAGCGTCTAAGGGAACCGCTGGAGAGGGAAATGTGGTGGAGCTACGTGCAACTACCGGACCAGAGGAGGGGTCGGCAAGGGAGACTACTGCAGGTGTAGAGAGCGGCGTGAGAGTGGTATGGTGACGAAAGAAGCAAGCAGATGCACCAAAGTTCAGGGTGAAGGAGAGCGCGGCGGTAGCGTCAGCCAGCGGAGGCGCTAGCGTGGAGCCAAGGCTAAACAAGTCAGGGGGTCCTACGCTTGATGCAGCAGGGGAGCCTGGACAACACACAGCAGGCACACCTAGGCTAGGCAATGCAGGGTAATAGGGTCCAGCAACATGAGAGAGTCAGCATACATGGCATACAAAGCAGAGCGAATCTGATCCATATCCAGCTCAAAGATCGGCAAACGGCGACATACCAGGCTGTGCCAGTCCGAGAGGTCGGGCGCGGGCCCAAAGCGGAGACGGAAAAGGTCGTGGAGACGGCGAAAGCAGCGGGCGGCGGTGTGACCGGGACGGTCACACGTGGTGCCACGACGGGGACCAGTCTGAGGCTGGTACTGGAAACTCACCGAATTGGAGCCGCCACCCGACGTCAAGCTACGAGGGCTGCCTCTACGACCACCACCACCGAAGCCACCTGGCCACCACAGCGGAGGGGGCCCTCATTGGTGCTGCTACTCTGAGGCGTCAGCCCCCACCCCCTCATCTGCACTCCCAGCGCTCCCACCACCTCCACCTCCCCCGCCACCCTCGCCACCCCCAGCACCCTTCCCTCCCTTACCCCCCCCCCCCCCCCCCCTCCCTCAAGGGGTGCCGGCCTCTACCCTGACGAGACTGCGTGGAGGCCGCCGCCGCAGTCTCCGCGGCAGGGACTGTCCTGTGACAACAGCGGAAACATCAGAGTAGGTGCACTGGGAGGGATCACAACCCTGGAAGATAGGGACCGCCATTGTATTGTTAGACTGAGCGATAGTGCGCTGGCGGGTCTCTATCGCCGACAGGGTGGTGATGAAGTCGCTAAGGGTGAGGTCAGTGGGGAGGAGACTAAGGAAGGTGTCGCGGACAGTGGCTAGGCGGTTAGGGAGGCATATGGCTCGGAAGTAAAGGGTACCCCATCAGCGCAACGGGCTAGGGGCCAGCGTGGCACGATGAGCAAGGCGCTCTACGGTAGGCTAGGGCGGAAGCGTGGGTGGGTGCGACCTACCTAACGTGATGCCATGTCAAAGTAACCAAGTGAACTCTAGCAAGAGGATACAAGGTGATATAAGGGTTTTGGGTTTTACTCTCTAAGAGCACGAATCTGTCTAGCCTATAACTAGACATACACATCATACTGTATGTATAAGTTGACATGCCTAGCAAGAGACACGTAACTCAGGGCGACACTACTAGTCCAACCTTTGAGGCAGGTCTTTGAAGACCAATCAACAAGAGTATAAGCTCAACAAGACTAACTCAGGGCGGCACTACTAGTCCAGCCTCTGAGACAAGAGCCACAAGGCCAATCAGCAAGTATAGACAGACAAACTAATCTAATAAAGAGTACACAAGTCAGGGTCCTAGCAAATGAGGAGCTACTGGAACCAGACCAAGCTGTAAATAGTGCTGCCGATGATCTTTAGGCGCAAGCACCTTAGTAAAGATATCAGTTGTGTTGGCACCGGAGGCCAAGTGTACTACGCATGCCTGGCAGCGCTGTTGTAGCTTGCTTAGGAGAAAGTATTGTAGTTGGATGTGCTTTGCTCTACCCTCTAGTCCACCCTTCTGACACAGGAGGATCATGGCCCTGTTGTCAGCGTACAGGACCGAGGCAGAGCTAGGCTATTCACCCAAGTCAGTGAGGAAGAACGTCAGCCAGCGGAGCTTCTGTGCCGTCATGACACCAGCGTAGATCTCAGCCTCACAGCTGGAGTGTGCTGCAGACGACGAGCGGGTGGACCTCCGCGAGATAGCACGTGCACCAAGGCTAAATCAGTCGCCCTGAGAGGACCTGAGCATTGCAGCATTGTCCACCCACGAAGCGTCTGTGTGTCCTGCGAGAACCACTGGCCTTCGTCCTCCCAACACTAGCCACATGCCTGATGTACTCGCCAGATAGCGCAACACCCTCTTCGCAGTCGACCAGTGCTGAGGTTGGTGTCTACCTGTCGCAACAAAGCGTGCAAGGATAATAAGAGGGTATGCGAGCTTTGGATGAGTGCAAGTCATCAGGTATATGAGGCAGCCCACGAGACCACTAGGCTCAACCGGCTCGTCAAGGTCCGGAGGAGAACAAAAGGCCGAACCTAAGAAGGACCTGACGCACTGTGAGAGAGTGATGGTGTGTGCTGCTCTGTCCCTGAAGATCTGTAGCCCGAGGTAGCAGCACAACTTTCCTTGGTCAGTGTACGTGTATCTCCTCAACAGCTCGGCCTTCATGGAGGCCAGTGCGTCTCTGTCTGCAGTAGTGAAAACCAAGTCGTCTACGTAGACTAGGATATAGAACGGAGTCTGGACAGAGTGAATGAAGACAGACGGGTAAGCTGAGGACAGAAAGAACTGAAGGTTTGCTAGTGTAGCATGCAGCGTTTTGTGCCACTCACAGGGTGCGAGCCGCAGACTGTAGACCGGGCGCCAGAGAAACCACTCGGTCCCAGGAGAGAAAGAGCCAGTGAGGCCGGGTGGACGGCGCAGGTAGATCTGCTCGTGTAGGCGGCCCTGGAGGAACGAAGTGGAGAATTCAAGTGAGTGGAGCTCGTAGTTGCACTGTGCTACTACATGAAGCAGCGCCCAAAGAGGAGTCATCTTCGGGGTCGGGGCGAAAGTCTGCAAGAAAACCACCCCCTTGCACTGGCTGAAGCCTCTAGCAACATAGCACGCCTTTAACTCCGGCGGCTCTCCAGGCGGGCGCTTCACCTTGCAGAGCCATCGGCCATCGACTACGTTCGCCCCAAGTAGGGGAACCGTGTCGACGTACGTGCCGGTGGATCTCCAAGATGCCATCTCTGCATCCATGGCAGCTATCCACTGAGAGGTCCGGAGTCTCGTAGTCGCCTCAGTGTAGGTGGGAGGGGTCGGGATGTCAAGAGCATCTGGGTCACCCTCAGGGGCTAGTAGCATGGAGCAGAGATAAGAAGTGACCTCCACAAGGAAAGCTAGCTCTATTGCATGTCCTCTAGGACGTCATTGCCAAGGGCAGGTGCACCCCTGACGGACGGAGGACGGGCAGGATCGGAGACCAGAGCTGTGGCGTAGTCAAGGCGGCGGGTAGAGGCAAAGTCAGTGACGGCAACGACAATGTTAGGATTAAGGACGGAGTCTAGGTGAACTTAGGAGCTAGAATTACTCAAAATATAAATCCGAAATTCTGGACAGAAAAGTCGTCTTCACAAGAAACGACGTCGACAAACAACTAGCCGTTGGAATGTCGCGAAACTTGGATATGTTGTAGCTCTTAATCTCAGCTACCGTTCCCAATTTGAATCATGTTGATTGATAAAGTATTCGCGACGCTATGGCTTTCGACGCACTAGGGGGTAAGCTGTAGGAGGAGAACTTAACTCAATCTCAAAGGTTCAATCAAAGTTCAAGAATCTCACAAGGAATTAGAAGGAGCAAGAGAAAGGTTGGGATAGGAAGAGAGGGATGAGAGGGAAGGTCCCAAGAGAGTCCCCAACCAAGGAAACCCCATAAGCACAAAGATTCCCTCCCTATAGGAACCCCAACTTTGACATTTGTCCCTTCCCAACCAATCCATCCAAGTTGGCCACCCTTGCCAACCTAGCTTGGTTGTTCCCAACCAATTTGCAGCTGTTACAGTGAGTGACAAATTTCCCAAACCCCCAAAGGTCCCAACTCCATATAGAGTCACCCCACAACTTCACTTTGTAACCGCCGCAATTGTAACGCAAGCTCATGAACTTTGAATCTTCATAGCTTTCGCGTTCTTGCTCCGATTGAAGGGATTCTCGTTGCGTCGGAAAGATCTTCTCAAGATCTATCATCACAAAAAACCTGCTCAAACAAAATAACACAAAACACATTCCCAAACTCCAGAACACATCACACACAAATTCTTGCACACGTTCAAACCACACATGCAAGTTGAAAAAATATGGGATGGGAGGCAGACAGAATGTGATAGCATATGATGACATCACACAACAATCTCCCCCTCTGGCTGCCAACCATCATCCACCATACCAACATCTCAAGCATGCATACTCAATGCACACTCATCCCAGCAAGCTTCATGCCCTTCCAATGATCCGCCTCCGCCAGACGCTTGGTGAAAATATCTGCTGCCTGCTGATGGGTCTTCACTATCTCCAGCCGCACCTCCTTATCAAGGAGTCTCCTCACCCAATGCCACTTAGGCCTTATGTGTTTTGTCAGCCCATGCAGACAAGCATTCTTGGCGAGCTTCACAGCGGACTCATTGTCACAAAACACAACTGTCGGCTTCTCCTGACCAACTCCCAACTCCTCCAACAAACGCCTTAGCCACACTACTTCCTTGGCCCCATGGTGTAAGGCCATGTACTCAGTCTCACATGAGGACAATCCCACCTCATTCTGCTTCTTGCTGCGCCAGCTCACAGCACCACCTCCTAGCAAGCACACATAACCCCCAATGCTGGTGCCATCCGCTTTCACTGAGTTGAAGCTAGCGTCAGTATAGCAACTCAAGAGCATCTCTCCACTCTTCACATCTGCAGCACCTCTCTGCAACCGCTGCCTCACTCCACTGTACTCCAATCCCACTGATGCCGTAGCGCTCACATAGCGGACCAACCTCTTGGCCGCTTCCAGCTGCTCATGACTAGGGCGTGAGACCACACTAGCCAATCGTGATGTAGCAAATGCAATGTCAGGCCGTGTATGATTTGCAGCATAATTCAGCGACCCAACCATCGAATGAAACAGCTTCCTGTCACTATCACCCACTACCTCCTCATCAGCACATGGCTCCACAGTAAACCCTGAAGGTAGTGGTGTTGCTGGCTTTCCCCCATCTTGCAGCCCATACTTCTCAGCCAGCCCCTCACAGTACTTCCTCTGGTGCAACCTCAGCACACCCTTTTCCACATCTCTCTCCACGTGCATCCCCAAGTAGTACTTCACCTCACCCATCTTGGAGCACTTGAACTGCATCTCCAGCATCTGCTCTGCGCTGTCCAGCAAAGCAGTTGATGCAGAAAAGAGAAGGATATCATCCACATACACCAAGAGCATGAGGATTTCATCCTTCTCCTGCAGCAGGAACAGGCTGGGGTCACACTCACTCTTCTTGAAACCCCCAGCCAACAGCGCCTCCTCCAACTTGTGATACCATGCACGAGGCGCCTGCTTAAGGCCATAGATGGCCTTCTTCAGCCTGCAGACCCTGCCGCTCCCGTCATCCAGCCCCTCTGGCTGCTTCATGTACACCTCCTCCATAATGATCCCATTCAGAAAAGCAGTCACAATGTCCATCTGCCGTATCTTCCATCCCAGGAGTGCAGCTATCGCTAACAGCACCCTCAGTGTTGTTCCTTTCCCCACAGGAGCAAACACCTCATCATAGTCCTTCCCTTTTGTCTGCTGAAACCCCCTTGCCACAAGCCTGGACTTGTAGCGGGTCAGCTCCCCTTCAGGTCCATACTTGTGCCTGTAGATCATCTTGGAAGTGATTGCCTTCTTTCCAGGAGGCAAGTCACACAGGTCCCATGTCTCGTTCTCAATTAGGGACCCGAACTCCTCATCCTCACTCGCCTTCCACTTCTCCCCATTTGGTCCATTCAAAGCCTCCTCTCGAGTCTTGGGCTCAGGGATTGGTGCCCAGTAGCAGTGAGCGATCTCATCTTCCTCAATCTGCTCAACCACACTCCCAGCCTGCACCACATTTGGCTTGCCTCTTCCCCCATAGGTCAGCCTCACTGGAGGGCGCACATCCCTCCTAGGACGCTCAGGCGGGTGTGGAACTCGAGGTGGAGACTCATGCTGCTGCTGCTGCTGCTCTACTTCAGCTGCTCCCCCTTCCTCAGTCACCCCAGACATCTCCTCCTCTGACACTGCAACCTCCACCTGTCTTGAAGGGTGCTGCACCTCATCTGCCTCCACAATGAGCGGTGTAGATGGAAGCTTCTGTTGCTGCTGCTTCCATTCCTTGTAGTACAGGGACTCAAGAAACTTCACATCCCTTGACACTGTCAACTTCTGGGTGGTCAAGTCCCATAGCAGCCACCCCTTGTGATCCTTTGCAATCCCCAAGTGCACACCCCATCTTCCAGAAGCCTCCAACTTCCCCCTTTTCTCCTTGGGCACATGAAACACCACCATGCACCCAAATGCCCTCAGCATGTTCACCGCTGGAGCACTCCCATACCACTTGGCATATGGGATCCACTCCTTATCTCCAACTGTAGCCAGCACCCTATTCTTCACAAGGGCGACCTGCCTCAGTGCAGACACCCAAAACGGATCAGGCAGCCCTGCACGCCCAAGGAGAGTGCGTGCCCCCTCCTGCAGGGTCCTGTTGAACCTCTCAGCCACGCCATTCTGCTGCGGGTTGTAGGGCACTGTCAGTTGATGCTGGATCCCCTTCCTCTTCAACTCCCCCTCAAAATCAGCTCCAATGAACTCCCCACCATTGTCACTGCGGATCACCTTCACCTTGTGTCCGCATTCCCTCTGAGCTCTAGGCATCCACTCCTTAAGGACAGCCGCTGCCACCTCCCCCTTGCTCTTCAAAGGGTAAACCCACACTGCCCGAGTGTGGTCATCCACAATTGTCAAGAAATAGCGGCTGCCTGAGAGGGAAGGGGCTCTTGTGGGCCCCACCACATCCATGTGCACAAGTGCAAGTGGGGTCTTGGCTGGTCCTGTAGTGCTGTTGAAGGGGAACTTGGAGAACTTGGTCTCCAAGCATGTAGGGCAGCTCCCAATCTCCTTCACTCCCCCTTTCACCTCCAAGCCCTTCAGGCTCCCATCCTTCACCAACTTCTGCAGCATAGGGAAGTTCACATGACACAGCCTCTCATGCCATGTCTCCCAATCGGCCTCTCCACTCCTTGATGAAGCCTTAGCCCATGCCGCACTCGCATCCACACCAGCAAGCACCTCACCATGTGTCTGCTGCTGCTGCACTTTCTTGACTGCTTCCAGGACCCCATCAGTTGGTGCAGTTGCATCTCCTCCTGCTGTTGCCTTTGCCGCTGCTGCCGTTGCTGCTGTTGGAGTCTTCCCATTCCATGGGATGATGGGCAGCTGCCACAGGTCCTTGATGCAGCTGGTCTCCTCTTCCAGACTCCACAGCACCTTCTTCCCAAGCTTAGCACGGCAGCTGGTTGGTCCAAAGGTCACTTCGGCCTTACTCTTCTGCAGTCGCCGCACAGAGAGAAGGTTAGCAGACAAGCCTTTAACCAGCAGAACATTCCCAAGCCCCACAAGCTCCCCATTAGCTCCCTTAACCTTGGCATTCCCAACACCAATCACGGGGAGCAAAGCACCTGACGCTGCTGCCACATACTTGATCTTCCCAGGGGGTTTTACCTCATCAAGCAAATCTGCCCGTGGGGTCATGTGACTGGTGCAACCTGAATCAATCACCCAGTGCGTGAGAGGGTGCATCACAACCTTTCCCACAGATCCCACATCACCCTCATGCCCATGCACATCCTCAACCATAAGAAACATCCCAGGATAGGCATTACCTTGTGCACCTTCACCTTGTGCACCTGAGCCTTGCACAGCGCCACCTTGTGCGCGTTCACCACTGGGCGGCTTCATGCCTGGAGGTGCCCATCCCTCCAGCCTGCTGAAGCACTTGAACCAAGGATGCCCAACCTTCTTGCAGTACCAGCACGTGCCCTCCATTCTGGTACTCCCCCTGCCACTAGAGCTCCCATGCCCCTCATTATAGTCACCTCGGCCTCTACCTCTGCCAAAGCTCCTCCCACGGCCTCGGCCTTTCCAACCCCCTCTTCCTCTGCTGCGCCCTGCAGCTCCATACCCCTCAGCAGTCTTAGTGGCAGCACCGCCTCCCACATGGCGTCTGCGGAAGTCCTCCTGCAGAATCTGCTGCCTTAGCCACTCAGGTGTCCATTGATCTTGCTGAGAGTTGAGGGTGGGGATGAGGTTGTCCCAAGAGTTGTCCAACACCGAGATGATCTTGGTGCACTGCTGCAGCTGAGATACACTGCTGCCCGCTGCTGCCATCCTTGCATAGGTGTCCTTGATCTTGTCAAGGACCGGCTTCACATCGTCCCCTGGTCGCATGGAGATGGCAGCAAGTTCCTTCTCGAGCACGATCACCATCGGGAGAGTGTTGGGCTGAACCACATCACGTAGTAGTTTCCACGCCCTTGGACCCGAATCATCCGCTTCCACAAGATCCTTGATGTGCTCGAACATCTCCTTGTTGACCGATTGAAGAATGAGGTCGAAAAGCACCGCGCTTTTCTCAATCCACCGTTCACGTGCTTCGCCTTCTTCCGGCATCTTCTCTTCCCCAACAGCAATCTTCAGGAGCTTGTAGCGTTTGAAGGCACTCCTCATCCGTCCGCTCCATTCCTCATAGTTGGAGCCATCCAAAGCTTCAACTTTTGATGGCGGCGGCTCACTTGTCTTCTCAGCTACAGCTCCTCTTCCATTAGCATCTCCTCCTCTCTCATTCATCTTCTCCTTGAGAAATGACGAATTTCAGCTCCCCTTTGCTGTCCACACTCAGCTCCCTCGATATTTTCACAAGTATCGGCGTCCACGAAATTTCGGCAGAGTTTCCCCTTAGCGGAAGACACATCCAACCTTTAGAACACCACTTAGGCACACCCACAGGCCATGGTGGGTCTAGAAGGGTCTTCACACTTCTGTAGACTCCTCTCAATGTCCTTAATATGGCTCTGATACCACTTGTTAGGATTAAGGACGGAGTCTAGGTGAACTTAGGAGCTAGAATTACTCAAAATATAAATCCGAAATTCTGGACAGAAAAGTCGTCTTCACAAGAAACGACGTCGACAAACAACTAGCCGTTGGAATGTCGCGAAACTTGGATATGTTGTAGCTCTTAATCTCAGCTACCGTTCCCAATTTGAATCATGTTGATTGATAAAGTATTCGCGACGCTATGGCTTTCGACGCACTAGGGGGTAAGCTGTAGGAGGAGAACTTAACTCAATCTCAAAGGTTCAATCAAAGTTCAAGAATCTCACAAGGAATTAGAAGGAGCAAGAGAAAGGTTGGGATAGGAAGAGAGGGATGAGAGGGAAGGTCCCAAGAGAGTCCCCAACCAAGGAAACCCCATAAGCACAAAGATTCCCTCCCTATAGGAACCCCAACTTTGACATTTGTCCCTTCCCAACCAATCCATCCAAGTTGGCCACCCTTGCCAACCTAGCTTGGTTGTTCCCAACCAATTTGCAGCTGTTACAGTGAGTGACAAATTTCCCAAACCCCCAAAGGTCCCAACTCCATATAGAGTCACCCCACAACTTCACTTTGTAACCGCCGCAATTGTAACGCAAGCTCATGAACTTTGAATCTTCATAGCTTTCGCGTTCTTGCTCCGATTGAAGGGATTCTCGTTGCGTCGGAAAGATCTTCTCAAGATCTATCATCACAAAAAACCTGCTCAAACAAAATAACACAAAACACATTCCCAAACTCCAGAACACATCACACACAAATTCTTGCACACGTTCAAACCACACATGCAAGTTGAAAAAATATGGGATGGGAGGCAGACAGAATGTGATAGCATATGATGACATCACACAACAGACAAGAGCCAAAAGACACGTGAGAGTGGAGGAGCATAAGGTGGACACTCGGATTGGGAGAGATGGGGCGAGCACGCGAGAGACGGCAAGAATAGAACTGCGAGGGAGGCGTTGGGTCAGGAGACAACGAAGGAGAACGAGGGGGGAAACACGCCAGAGGCGAGTCCGGGGAACACGGGGCCGTAGGCATGAGGAGGAGACAACGCAAGAGGAGGTGCACGCAGGAGGTCGGGGGAGGGAAGACAGAGGAGGCAAAGGGCGGACACTATCTGCCGCTTCTACTGTTGCCGCGGCGGCTGCTGCTGCTGCTGCTGCTCTGTGCCCGCACCAAGACCTCCAGACCCACTGCGGCTACTACAGGGACTCACCGAGACAGCACCCCCAAGACTAGCACCCTCCTCAGGACCAGCACCGCAAGGATTAGCACCCCCAGCACTAACACCCCCAAAGCCCACCGGCCCCTGCTGCTGCTGCTATGGCTGCTGCTGCTGCGGCGGCGGATGCACAAGGTGCGGGGTTGGAGGCCCCGCAAAGCCAGATGGCGCACCCAGAGCCCCGACACCCCTAGAGTCAGTAGAATCCTCCGCTGGGCCAACCAAGGGAAGGGGAGTGACGTGAGACACACAGACGGGGCATGACAGGGAGGGAGGGGAGCCAGAGTTACCGGGGGAGTGGGGACAAAGAACAGGGGCGAGGTAACAGGGAGACTTCAATGGGGGAAGCATGTGTGGAAGGAGATAGACTCGTCAAAGGTGACGCCACGTGAGTGGAGGAAACGGTGAGACGACGGGTGGCAAAAGTGCCAGTCAGGAGCGTTAAGGGGGAAACCAATGAAGACAGTGCGGGCGGTGAGCTTTTCCGCGCGATAGTCGCGAACGTGAGCTAGGCAGCCCCAGACGTAAAACGCAGATGCGTCATTAGGGGACCCTGTCCAAAAGAGGGTCGACGAAACCTGCGGACACGAAGCTCGGGGCCACAGGTTAATCTGGTGAGCAGCATCGCGCACTGTGGATGGCCACAGAAAATGGAGTGCAACGGCGTGGTCCACGGAGGTGTGAGCTACCTCTATGACCAGGCCGATGCGTCGCTCATCGACCCCATTCCATTGTGGGGAGTCTGGAAGTGTGTACAATTGGGTGATGCCCTCCGCACAACAGAACTGGCCAAGCCGGCTGGAGGCAAACTCGTCGCCACGGTCTGAGGGAAGACGAAGCACAGGCTGGGCGCGGTGGTCTCAGGCAGCTACAAGCCACAGGATAAGAACTTCAGGCACGTCGGCCTTCCGCTCCAGAGAAAACACCGTGGTGTAGCGCGAGTAGTCGTCAACGAGAATCAGGAAGTAGTGCTCGTGGCGTGGCCCACGGACCGAGGATTGGCCCCAGACGTCCAAGTGCAGGGTCTGAAGAGGCGCACTGTGGTGAACGAGGTTCAGCGTACACCTTCCAGGTTCATACAGAACGAGGGGATGTGCAGACCTATAAGAGAGCATGTGGGATCTGCCAGATAGGGAAGTGTGGTGGAACTACTTGTGATTACCGGACCTGTAGAGGGGTCTGCAAGGGAGACTGCTGCCGGTGTGGGAAGCGGCACGAGCGTAGTGTAGTCGCGAATGAATCAAGCAGACACACCAGAGTCCAACATAAAGGAGAGCACTGTTGGTGCAACCCTATGGCTTGCACTCGGCTTGTCGTCCTTGTTTGTGTGTGTGCATGCATGGCATGGAATGACTTGTGAGTCTATATCATTGCTATCTAGTGCTTGTGTGTGTGTTTGAATGGTGTATCACAATGTGGTTTGTGTCGGTCAAGACATTAGCGAGTTTTCACAACTCGCATGTCAAGTCGTCGTTTGCGTGTCGCATGTGTTTTTTCTATTTTGTCGAGTGCGAAGTGTCCATCGCGTCGCAGGTGTGTGCAGCAAGCCCCCATCAACTCAAGAAGAATTTATCTTGCAGAACCAAGACCAAGAGCTCAACATTTCAAGCCCAAGGGACACGGATAAATATTAAATAGTGAAAATAGTAATGCTACTTCGTGTAGTGTTACATTTCACTTGGTGTAGCCCCTTGAAGGATTTGTTTCGAGACTCTTCATGGTTGGGGACTCTGTGGTGGTGTACCACCAACCTGGACCTCGGCTCTTGGGGTATGTAGAGGCTGGGAATCATCTCCATCTCGAACTCTTCTTGCTAAGTTTGTACTCCTAAGACTATAGTGGCTGCTGTACCTCCTGCTAGTCAAACCGCCATAGCGTCGTCAAATTTTCATGGAATTTTATTATTCAACTTGCTGCTGATAGGCGACAGCAACGCGCTCCAGATCCAATTTACAAAGCACCGTTTGAGGCACAGATGAGTTCAGCATCAATATTCGAAGCTGCCTGACAGAATTTTGACTATGCACAATATCTCTCATTTTAGGCACATCTGAGCCTATTGTTATTATAACAAGCACGCGGTAGTGTTGGTCGGCGGGGGAGCAAGTGTGCAACCAAGGCTACACAGGTCAGGAGGTCCTACATGTCGATCTGCAGGTCCTACGCCTGACGCAGCAGGGGATCCTAGACTACACACAGCAGAAGCTCCTAGTCTAGGCACAGCATAGTTATAGGGTTCTGTATCACTAGAGTCATCAGCTTACATAGCATACATGGCAGATCCTATCTGATCCATATCCATCTCAAAGACCGGCACACAAGGACGTATTAGGCTGGGCCAATCCGGGAGGGCCATAGTGGGCCCGAAACAGAAACAGAAGAGGTCGTCGAGGCGGCGGTAGCAGCGGGTGGCGGTGTGACCTGGGTGGCTACTACAGACAGTGCCACAGAATGGACCAGACTGAATCTGGTACTGGCAACTTACCGGACTAGAGCCGCCAACCGACGTCGAGCTGTGAGGGCCGCCTCCCCAGCCACCTCCATCGAAGCTGCCTAACCACCATGACGGCGGGGGCCTCCACTGCTGCTGCTGCTCCTGCGGCTCTGGGGCATCAGCTCGCGCCACCTCGTCGGCACCCCCAGCATTCCCACCACCCCCACCACCCCCACCACCCCCACCACCCCCGCCACCCCTAGCTCCCTTCCCTCCCCACGCGCCCCCTTAGGGCGAGTGGGGGCTCTACGCTGATGAGGCTGCGCTGAGGCCGCTGCAGCGGTCTTAGCGGCAGGGGCTGTCTCAGCAATAGCAGTGGAAGCGTCAAAGTAAGTGCACTAGGAGGGAGCGCAGCCCTGGAAGATAGGGACCGCCACAGTGCCGCTAGACTGAGCGATAGTGCGTGGCGACAGGGTGGCGACAAAGTCGTCAAGGGTAAGGTTAGCGGGGTGTAGGCTAAGGAAGGTGTCACGGGCGGTCGCTTGGTAGTCAGGGAGGCACATGGCTAGAGAGTAAAGGGTGGCACTGATGGGAGGGAGCAGGACAGTAAGCTGAGCCTCAGTGCTAGTAGTGCGGTAGCTAGACTCGAGGGCAAGCAGATGGTTGGCCGGATCAGCAATAGTGGAGAAGGAAGCTAGGTCAGGGAAGAGCAAGGACAGGAGGAGACGGCAAGCAGAGGCGGAGGAGGGAGTGGAATAGCGAGTGATAACAATATCGAGGTATGTCTGCGCAGTGTCTATGGACTGAGAGCGGGAGAGCTCGGACAGCGGGATAGCACAGCTAATAGCCAGCTGCGCAGTGGCGTCACGCGACTCCCAGAAAGAGCGAGCAATCGTAGTAGCTGCGAAAGCCTCATGCGCAGCAAGCGAGGCGTCACCAGCAAGGGCAGCACGCTCGGGGGGGCAGGGCAGCTTACCGTCGACATGGACGGCCAGAGACTGGCCGTGCTGGCACTGACCTTTCAGCTGGTGGTGCAGGTCGGCGAGCCACGCCTCGAAGTCCACCATGCGGCCCTTGGCGTCCAGGCGGAGAACAGCTTCCGCCATGGCACTCGCATGTCAGCAAAGGTGGTCGCAGCTTACTAGCAGGGGCCGCACGCCAGCACAGCTGCAAAATCTAAGGATACAGGAGGGGGAGTAGGAGGAGGAGGAGCCAGGAGCATGCGGGTGTGGTGTAGGGTGTTGTGGAGTGCAGAGGGGTGCGGTGGAGTGTGGTGGAGGGCGGTGGAGTGCGGTGAAGAGCGGTGGAGTTGGGACCAGCGGCAAGGAGAGGTCAGGCACGGCGCGAAGTAGGGGCTAGCGTGGCAGTGAGCACAGCCGGCGTGGCGACGAGGTGGCGCGGCGAGTAGGGGCCGGCAACGAGCAGTGGCCGGTGGCGAGGAGAGGTCGGCAGCGAGCTGGGGCTGTTGCGGAGAGCAGAGGCCGGCGGCGAGTAGGGGCCGACGTGGCGAGCAGAGACCAGCGCGGCGAGCTAGGGACGGCACGGCGAGCAGGGGGCCGGAGCGGTGAGGAGAGGCCGGCGGCGAGCTGGGGCCGGTGCGGCGACCAGAGGTCGGCGACGATCTGGGGCCGATGCGGCGAGCCGAGGCCAGCACGGCGAGCTATGGCAGGTGCGGTGAGCAAGGGGCCGGCGCGGCGAGCAAGGGCCTGCGACGAGCAGGGGCTGGCGCGGCGAGCAAGGGCCAGCGCTGCGAGCTGGGGCCCGAGCGGTGAGCAGGGGCTGGCTCGGCAAGCTGGGGCCGGTGCAACGAGCGATGGCTGGCGCGGCGAGTTGGGGTCGGCGCGGCGAGCAGGGGCCTGTGCGGCGAGTAGAGGGCCGGCACACTACGGCCTGGCGGGTCGCGCTAGGGCGAGGCGCTCTAAGGTAGGCTAGGGCGGAAGCGCGGGTGGGTGGGACCTACCTGTCAACTTATACATATATTGTTATGTAGAAGTTATAGGCTAGATTGGGTATGTTCTTAATGGGTACAACCCAAACGCTATATCTCCCCTGTTCTCCCTTCTTCTAATCATTCTTTCTAGTCTTAATACTACCTAGCGTAATGCCATGTTAGAATAGCGAAGTGGGCTCTAGAAAGGCTCACATGTGGACATATGAGATGGTGCTGTACTCTCTAAGAGCACTTACCCATCTAGCCTGTTACTATACATACAAAACATATGTTTAAGTTAGACATTAAATTGGGTGATATGCTCAGTTCATATGAATAGCCAGTGATCCCATGGGTTGCTGTTATCTATTACCCAATAGTTCATCTTGCTTCCATGAAAAGCCCTGTTGAGAAACAGGCTGTTCGTTTAAATTTCACTGCTTGAAGACCTACCGCGATTCCCTGCAAGGTCTTCACCTCCCAGAATGCGAAGTTGTGGAAACGGAACACACGGCCCACAGCTGCTGCGGCAGAACGGCTGCTGCTGCTGCTGCTACCATTGCTGCTACCATTGCTGCTAGCGTACCACAGTTTGTCACGTTGGATTGGATGGTTTCACTATTGCCGCTCAGTGGCCATAATACCGATGGCTTGTCCCCCAGTCACTTCAAGAATGCACCCGTTACAGAGACGGCGTCACTGGCCCGGCAGCAGCAGAGGGTGCAGCAGGTGCTTTCCCCTCTGGTCCCAGTGCACCCGACCTGGCATCAGGCCCACCTTCAGCAGCAGCAGCATCAGCAGCAGCAGCCCCTGCACTCCCTCCGTTCTTCCCATCACCAGCACCACCAGCTGGAGCAGCAGCGGAGGAAGCAGCAGCACGGCTGTTGGTGGCAGCAGCGGCAGCACTGATAGCGGAGGCCTGGAGCTCCTGAACTGTGGTGAAGTTGTGAGAGGACTTTCTGTGGCGTGGGCGCAGGCGCAAGCGTTTGAAGCAGTCAAAGAGAGGCGTCTCTGACACGGGGATGAATTTGGCCAGAATGGCCAAGGGCAGACTGCAGAGATAAAGAGACATGAGGAGGGAAATGTGGAGATGGGTGCTAAGTTAGTGGACGCAGCTGAAAGTGGCTCATGCAGGTGAATGGAACTGCGTGCGTGGTGCAAGGGCACGGCATGGCATGGCATGGCACGACACGGCACAGCACGGCATGGCATGGCACGACACGGCACAGCACGGCATGGCACGGAATGACATGGGCGCATGATGGGCATGATGCAGAGCAGTCAGTATTGCCAGGAGAGCGAGGTGGTGTGGGCGACTTTTAAGTCATCCCACAACCCCCAGAAAGCCCGAGAAACTGAGGCACAGAGAGCCAGAGAGACTGAAAAATATGGAGCCAAAAAGACAGAAAGGCAGGTCACCTGATGGCGCCGATGCCGATGCAGAGCAGCCACTGCTGCCAGGAGAGCGAGGTGGTGTGGGCAAATGACTGCAAGACCTCCACGATGATCGACTGGAAGGCGACCGAGAAGCAGAGCACGGCGATGAAGATGGGGCTCTTGTGCAGCCGCTCAAACACGTTCAGCTTGTTGGGGCGCCGCGCGTTGATCTCGTTGAACAGCTGAGGGGGAGCGGAGAGAGGAAAGGAGGGGAGGGGAGCGGGGGGGAGAGGAGAGGGAAAAGACGGAGGTGACAGAGAGGCTAGAGTACAGCCCGGAACAGCGGCACAAGAGGGGCAAGCTAGGCTGAAGCCATAGGGCGCCACAGGCAGAGCGAGGCACCCAGCGGGGTCTTTAGTCACCAGTTACCGAAAAAAGCGCTTCTAGTGTTCAGGGTTTGAAGGTTTGAAGTGGGAGCTTTACGAAAACAGTTGAAGCTGTGGGGAGGAACAATACCTGGCAGAAGACGAAGGTGTTGAAGATGATGGTGTTCTTGACCTCTGTGGGGTTATCTACACTGCCAATGCCCAGCAGGGAGATGCCCGCGTAGTTGAGCACCATCAGCACCGTCAGCTGGAAGGCAGCCTGAGAGAGGGGAGGAAGGGGAGGAGAGGGGTGGCGGGTGGGGGGGGGAGATGGAAGGGGGGGGAGTTGGGCTAATGACGGAGAGGGAAGAAGAATGAGGCTCGAGCATAGGGACGTAATGCAGGGGGAAAAGAAGGTGCAGGAAGAATTCGAGCTCGATTGGTAGGGGCAGATGGGGAGAATTTGGAACACACGAGGACAGAGAGGGGCGGGATGTGGGGGTGGGGGTGAGGGTGAGCGTGAGGGGGAGAAAGGGGGGTGGGGGTGGGAGGGTGGGCATTGTGAGCAGGAGAAGAAAATGTACCTGAGTGAATATGTTGCGCCACATGACGTTGGTGATGAGAGGCGCACTGCAACATGGGAGGAAGACCGAGGGTGCGTGTGAGGAATGTCAACAAGTATCTGACGTGCATCCAACATGTATCCAACAAGTATAAGAGGCATGAAGATGTGTTGAGACGTCTCCGATCTAAGAGCCGAGAAACCCGTCAGAAACCCAATGCAGAGGGAAAGGGAAGCAAGAAGGGAGGCAGTTGAGAACGGAAGGGGGAAGGAAGGAGGTGGCGTGAGGGAAAGGGAGGCAAGAAGCAAGCGCGGGAGCGAAGCGAGGCGGCCTCTCACGTTCTGCCAACGGGTGGCTGCTCGAGGAGGTCGGCCGTGGGGGGCTCTGTGGCGAGCGCCAGCGCTCCGAGTGTGTTCATGATGAGATTCACCCAGAGGAGCTGCGAGGGTAAGAAGGGGGTGAGAAGAGGTCACACGGAGCAGCGGGGAGCCACACAGGATGGCAGCAGGGAGGGACAAAGTGGAGAGGGGGGGGGAAGATGGGTAAAGCAGGTCAGCATGAATATAAACGAGAGCATATTCAGAGGTCCTGGGTATGCAAGAGGAATGGGAAGGAAGCATGTGGCAAGAACAATAGAGCATCACACATCTCCCCCTCAACCTCACCCTCAACCTCACCCTCACCCTTACCCTCACCCTCACCCTCACCTCCACCCTCACCCTCACCCTCACCCTCACCTCCACCCTCACCCTCACCCTCACCCTCACCCTTACCCTCGCCCTCACCCTCACCCCAAAGCGCCCTTTCGTCGACGCACCTGCTCAGTGGTGAGGGGCCCGGCCCCGTCGGTGAGCGCGGTGATGAACAGCCAACCACCCTCACCCCACCCCCACCTGACTATCAGTATGAAACCCTACATCCGCGCACCTGCACAGTGGTGAGGGGCACGGCGCCGTCGGTGAGCGCGGTGATGAAGTTGAGGGAGAGCGCGCAGATGTTGACAGTGAGCTGGAACTGAATGTACTTCTGGATGCTCGCAAACACTGACCGCCCCCACCGCACCACGCGCACGATGGACGCAAAGTTGTCGTCCAGAATGATGATGTCGGAGCTCTCCTTGGCCACCTCCGTGCCGGACAGACCCATGGAGAGGCCGATGTCGGCCTGGTGATGGAGGGAGGGAGGGAGGGGAAGGGAAGCAAGGGGAAGGGAAGGAAGGGGAACGGAAGGGAAGGGAGGAGAGGGAAGGGAAGGGAGGGGAGGGAAGGGAAGGGAGGAGAGGGAAGGGAAGGGAGGGGAGGGAAGGGAAGGGAGGAGAGGGAAGGGAAGGGAGGGGAGGGAAGGGAAGGGAGGAGAGGGAAGGGAAGGGAGGAGAGGGAAGGGAAGGGAAGGAAGGGGAAGGGAAGGAAGGGGAGGGAAGTGAAGGGAAGGGAAGGGAGGAGAGGGAAGGGAAGGGAAGGGAGGGAAGGGAAGGGAGGAGAGGGAAGGGAAGGGAAGGGAGGGAAGGGAAGGGAGGAGAGGGAAGGGAAGGGAAGGAAGGGGAAGGGAAGGAAGGGGAGGGAAGTGAAGGGAAGGGAAGGGAGGAGAGGGAAGGGAGGGGAGGGGAGGGAAGGGAAGGGAGGAGAGGGAAGGGAAGGGAGGGGAGGGAAGGGAAGGGAGGAGAGGGAAGGGAAGGGAAGGAAGGGGAAGGGAAGGAAGGGGAGGGAAGTGAAGGGAAGGGAAGGGAGGAGAGGGAAGGGAAGGGAGGGGAGGGAAGGGAAGGGAGGAGAGGGAAGGGAAGGGAGGGGAGGGAAGGGAAGGGAGGAGAGGGAAGGGAAGGGAACGAAGGGGAAGGGAAGGAAGGGGAGGGAAGTGAAGGGAAGGGAAGGGAGGAGAGGGAAGGGAAGGGAAGGGAGGGAAGGGAAGGGAGGAGAGGGAAGGGAAGGGAAGGGAGGGAAGGGAAGGGAGGAGAGGGAAGGGAAGGGAAGGAAGGGGAAGGGAAGGAAGCGGAGGGAAGTGAAGGGAAGGGAAGGGAGGAGAGGGAAGGGAAGGGAAGGGAGGGAAGGGAAGGAAGGAGAGGGAAGGGAAAGGAGGGGAGGGAAGGGAAGGGAGGAGAGGGAAGGTAAGGGAAGGAAGGGGAAGGGAAGGAAGGGGAGGGAAGTGAAGGGAAGGGAAGGGAGGAGAGGGAAGGGAAGGGAAGGGAAGGGAGGGAAGGGAAGGGAGGAGACGGAAGGGAAGGGAAGGGAGGGAAGGGAAGGGAGGAGAGGGAAGGGAAGGGAGGAGAGGGAAGGGAAGGGAGGAGAGGGAAGGGAAGGGAGGAGAGGGAAGGGAAGGGAGGAGAGGGAAGGGAAGGGAGGAGAGGGAAGGGACAAGAAGGGAAGAAGAGCAAAAGAAAGAAAATCGATAGGTTAGGTACCGGCCAGAGAAGATAGGTTAAGTGGAGCGCGGGTGCGTAGATGGAATAGATGTGGGCTGCGAGGAGGAGGAAAAAGGGAGGGAAACAGGTCTCACCATTGTACACCTTGACAGTGAGACCTCCGTGTTCTCTCATCCCATCAACCGACCTCATAGAGAGCGGGTGCGTCGTTGGTGCCGTCGCCTGTGACGGCCACCACCTCGCCCATGCGCTGCAGCATCGACACCAGTAGATGCTTGTCCGTGGGGGACGACCGCGCCATCACCTGAATTAAGGGAGAGGGGGGGGGGGAGGAAACAGGATGGGGAGGAAGCAAGAAGGAAGGTGAGTATGAAGGTAATGAAGACAGGCTTGACACCTCGATCTCGACGTGTTGCGCTGTAACTACCAAAAATGTCAAAGGAAAGCCTTCCCAACAACGCTACCTGAAAAGTGGCCTTCCAGCCCTCAGAGACTGTGCCCTCAGAGACTGTGCCCTCAGAGACTGTGCCCTCAGAGACTGTGCCCTCAGAGACTGTGCCCTCAGAGACTGTGCCCTCAGAGACTGTGCCCTCAGAGCTGTGCCTCAGAGACTGTGCCCTCAGAGACTGTGCCCTCAGAGACTTGTGAACTTGCCTCAGAGACTGTTCAGAGACTGTGCCCTCAGAGACTGTGCCCTCAGAGACTGTGCCCTCAGAGACTGTGCCCTCAGAGACTGTGCCCTCAGAGACTGTGCCCTCAGAGACTGTGCCCTCAGAGACTGTGCCCTCAGAGACTGTGCCCTCAGAGACTGTGCCCTCAGAGACTGTGCCCTCAGAGACTGTGCCCTCAGAGACTGTGCCCTCAGAGACTGTGCCCTCAGAGACTGTGCCCTCAGAGACTGTGCCCTCAGAGACTGTGCCTCAGAGACTGTGCCCTCAGAGACTGTGCCCTCAGAGACTGTGCCCTCAGAGACTGTGCCCTCAGAGACTGTGCCTGGACTGTGCCCTCAGAGACTGTGCCCTCAGAGACTGTGCCCTCAGAGACTGTGCCCTCAGAGACTGTCCCAGAGACTGGCCCTCAGAGACTGTGCCTCAGAGACTGTGCCCTCAGAGACTGTGCCCTCAGAGACTGTGCCCTCAGAGACTGTGCCCTCAGAGACTGTGCCCTCAGAGACTGTGCCCTCAGAGACTGTGCCCTCAGAGACTGTGCCCTCAGAGACTGTGCCCTCAGAGACTGTGCCCTCAGAGACTGTGCCCTCAGAGACTGTGCCCTCAGAGACTGTGCCCTCAGAGACTGTGCCCTCAGAGACTGTGCCCTCAGAGACTGTGCCCTCAGAGACTGTGCCCTCAGAGACTGTGCCCTCAGAGACTGTGCCCTCAGAGACTGTGCCCTCAGAGACTGTGCCCTCAGAGACTGTGCCCTCAGAGACTGTGCCCTCAGAGACTGTGCCCTCAGAGACTGTGCCCTCAGAGACTGTGCCCTCAGAGACTGTGCCCTCAGAGACTGTGCCATGACTGCTCGTTGTGGAACCGATATGCGCCACACACACACACCGCTTGCACAACAATGCAATACGCGACGCGGAAGAGGCTGGACTGATACCACTAGACACCACTAAACAGCATGGCACTCACATCAATGGTGGGGATGATTTCCATCATGCGATCCAACGGCAGAACTCGAAAGTCCTTCCCCTCAATCACAACCCCATTGGGTGTCAGAATCCCGCACTCCAGCGCAATGGCCTTCGCTGTGAGCACGTTATCCCCCGTCACCATGCGCACTTTCACCCCGGCCTTTTGGCACCGCGCCACCGCTTCAGGCACGCCCGGGCGGCAGGGGTCCTTGATGCCCACGATGGCAAGGAGAGTGAGGGAGGTGTCGGGGAACTGCCAGGACTCGGTGTCGTCAGGAACAGTTGCAAGGGGCACCGGGGAGGATGCGAGGGCGATGCAGCGCAGGGAGGATGCTGCCATGGTGGCGATGGCCGCCTGCACTGACTCGAGCTGCAGGGGGGGGAGGAGGAGAGACAAGTAGGAATATGGGCGAGGCCCAAGAGGGAGAGGTGGCGTTGAGCTAGTAGGGTTGGGGGTTAAGGGGCGCTAATGCCATGGTGGCGATTGCTGATTGCACTGACTCGAGCTGCAGGGGAGGCAAGCGGGGAGATGGGAGATCGGCAAGGAGAAGTTTAAGAAGGGGAGAGGAGGGGAGGGGAGGTGGCATATGGACACCAGATTGTGGAAGTGAAATTGCTCTGTCACCCGCCACGCCTCACCCACCACGCCCCACCTTGTCAGGCGTGAACGCCACAGTGTTGCCCTGGGCGTCCATCCAGCTCTCGCAGTTGGCCAGCACCATCTCCGCCGCGCCCTTCCAGTGCACCACCACATCACCAGTGGTGCGCCTCACTGCCACGCCGGCACGCTTCTTGGTGGAGTTGAACGCCTCCACTGAGATGATGTCCGACGCGTGGCGCAGCCCGTTGTAGTCCATGCCCAACTGTAGGGGGAAGGGGGGTTTGGGGGAGGGGAGGGGTTGAGGAAGAGCAAAAAGACATGATTGGTTTGGATTAAACCGAAGAGGGGCAAGGATGGGATTTGGGTTTCAGGTGTGGCGAGTGTGGTAGGTGAAAGAGGAGCACGAAGGATAGAAGGTGAAGAATGTGCAGGGAAATAAGGGGAGAACAGAGTGGGACAAGAAGACGAAAACAGAGGAAAAAGGACAGGAGCAGGCATGAGCGCGAGCATGGGACTCACAGAGAGCGCCCACTGGATGATGGCAGTCTCTGTTGGGCTTGCTGACACCTCTGCTTCACCTCCGTTCTGCATGTGCATGTGCACGTGGGGCGGATGAGAGTGATTGCAGGAAGGTGAGTTACTTGCTAAACACATGAACAGTGCAAATAGGCTGCCAAATATGCAGGTAGGAGTCATAGGGTCATACAGCTACGGCAGGGCATGCCACACCACGCCACACCACGCCACACCACGCCACGCCATACCGTATAGGAACGTACCCGAGGAATGAAGACAGTCCCTGTGCTGTTCTGCGCCACGCCTTCCAGAATAACCTGCAGTAGCGGCAGCCAAGCACACAAGCCAAGCAGAATTGAAGTAGGGTTCAGCATAACAACAACCATGAGGCGGCATCAACGGAAGCAGCACCAAGACTGGTGACTTCTAGTGAAACAGGAGCCAGCGATCCAGCAAGCCACATCTGAGGCGAACTGAGTACAGCAGAGGGGGGGAGATGGTAAAAAAATAGAAACAAAAAAGGGACAACAACAAACACCGATTTAGGCGAGGAAAATGGCATGTGACCTGGAGGTGGAGAGGCTGACCTGGAGGAGAGGCTGACCTGGAGGAGAGGCGAGGCAGCGTGGAAGCTGTCGATGGCGTCTGGCTGGTGCAACACCCCTGCGTGCCACTCCCTCACCACCGTCATCTGCCCACCACCACAAGAAGAGCGTCCAGTTGAAACACAGGAAATGGAAGGTTGGATGGAACCGTTATGAGTGATGGCGTCTTGAACACATGACAGATTGGCAGAAGGACAGAGAACAGCATCCCCTAGGATTGGCACCACTGAATGTGAAGCGAGATGGGGAGGTGGTAGAACAAGAGAGAAAGAGGTGAATACGTGCGAGAGTGAGATAGTGGGAGGAGACGATAAAAGGAAGAGGCATGAAGAACACCTGGTTGAGAGTAAGAGAGTGGAGGAGATAATAAAAGGAAGAGGTGTGAAGCACACCTGGTTGAGAGTGAGTGTGCCAGTCTTGTCACTGCAGATGGCAGTGGCAGACCCCATGGTCTCGCACGCTGCCATGTTCCGCACCAGCGCCTTGTCGTTCATCATCTTGCGCATCGAATAGGCCAGCCTGCACGTAGGCGGGTGGAAATCACAGGAAAGAGGGGGGAAAGAGGGGATGTGGGGGCGTGCAGCGAGGGCACGGTGAGCTTCATGGGTTGCGAGGACTGACAATGCTGCTTTGTTTCGCACAGCCGCGTTGTTTTTTATCATCGGGTGCATATGCAAGCCTGCGGCCATAGAAAGAGATGGATAAATAGGTACATGGATCGACAGTCAGATGGATAGAAAGTGAAAGAGAACGCATAGGGGAAGGGCATGGGCAATGGAAATGGGAAGGGCAAGGGCACAGCTGGGAAGACCACATCAAGTGGGGAAAGAATGGAAAATGGAGGAGCGCTCACTCAAAAACGTTGGATGGGCACATGAGCTCCTTAGATGGGAATGCAGTGCCGCATAACTTAACACAGCAAAAATCCACTCACGTGAGAGTGACGGCAAGAGGCAGCCCCTCGGGAATGGCAACAACAATGATGGAGACAGCCACAGCGATCTCGTCCACGAGCTCCTTGATCACGTCCATGAATCCCTGCCCGCTGTGGTTGTACATGAAGTAGCGCGTCATGAGGATGATGAGCACGCACACCGCCACCGTCACCCCCACCTTGCCCACTGCTTTCGCCAGTCGGGAGATTCGCGCCTGGGAAGGAGGAGGTTTGGGATTAAGGTGTGGGGGAACGGAAGGAAGCGTGAGTGGAGGGGCTTGCCCGCTGCGGTGGTGGTTGATGGAGTAACGAGTCACGAGCAAGGTGTAAAGCACACACGCACACCGCACACTGCGCACACATGGAGATAATGGTGAATTCTAAAAAATCACCTGCGAGGAAAATGAGAGCACGAACACCGCACACCGCGCGCACACATGGAGATCTGGATTCAGGGCGATGGCCCAGCGGGAGTTTGCATGGCAGGAGAGCTGAGCTGCGTGTTAGGAAGTGGGGGTTGATGAACCCACCTGCAGCGGCGTGACAGAATCATCCTCCATGTTGACAGTTGCCATGATGCGACCCCACTCCGTGTTGGTACCCACTGCCGTGATCTGGCGCGCCGTGCACGCATGGGGGGGAGAGCAAGGGGGAGGAGGATATTTCCTGGTTTTCTTAAGGGTTGCTCGGTGAAGAGGGTGCAGGGGAGGAAGTCTGGAGAGAGCTGTGGAGAGGGATGAAGCAAAGAGCACAGAGCGAGAGAAGAGACAAACACGGCTGTGATAGTGGTGAGGCAAGGTACAGACTCAAAAGTCATGAGTCAAATTTTCACCATCAAATTTCACAAGAAATTTCAAGCAAGCTCTCTACTATTTCTTTCTTACTTAAGCGTTTGTCACAGTTGCTGCCACGTAAAGACCTATGGCACCTAAGTGGTGTCCACAAGGTACAGATGCAATGAGGCAACGATACCGAAGCAACAAGACAAAGGCACAGCAGCAACCAGGCAAAGGCACAGCAGCAGCGGCCGGCGCAACTGACCAGCATGGTGCCATAGCCGTCCACGACTTTGCACCCGGACATAAGGAACGGCCGATACACGTCCTTGTGCATCTGGTGAGGGTACAATGGTCCCGGGGTCAACAGAGGCGGAGGAGAAACAGGGTAAGTGTGAGCAAGAAGCGAAAACGGGAGGAACGAAAGGTACACGTCCTTGTGCATATGGTGCAATAGCAATTCCAGGGCAAACGGTGGGCTTGTCAGCGAGGCGGGAAAGCAGGGAAAGCGGACAATACACATTCTTGTGCTTCGGGCGTGAAAACATTCCGAAGGGGACTACGGAAGGTGGAGGCAAATGCGGGAGGGACCAGCAAGCCATAGGGCGTTGACATCGCTCTTGGACATGAGGTCAAGGACTCACGAGGCGCCGATAACACATACAACGCATGCAGCGGCACTCAAGGGGTCGCTCTCTCTCTCCCATGACTCACTGGGTCGCTCTCGCCCGTCATGTACGACTCGTCGATGGTGAGCGAGTGGCCCGAGAGGACCACCCCGTCGCCCGGCACCTGGTCGCCTATGGCCAGCGGCACCACGTCGCCCACCAGCAAATCGAATATCGATGCTGTCTGGCTGCGCCCGCCTCGTATCACCTGATAGAAAGCGAGGAAGAGGGAAGACGGAGGGAGGGAGTGAGAGGGATTGAAGGTGGAGAAGAGCCCGAGCCAAAGCGTTCCAGATAAAAGCCGCGCGCAATCAAATGCAAGAACCACACACGCAAAGAAAGGAAGAGGCGAAGGGAACTCGTGAGGTGGGAGGCTGTAGAGGCGCACGTGAAGCATCGGGTGGACAAGCAGGCAGGGAGGAGCGGGTAAGCACCCCACCTTCAAGCGCCTACAAACTCGTCTCACTCTCTAGGCGCATAAAGCATCACCTCCTTCTCCGCGTCAGAGCGGGGAGGCACCCCACCTTGAGCTGAATGTCCTCCTTCTCTGCATCCAGCCCTTGGAACTGCAGCGCCTGGCGGTAGTCCGTGAGCGCTGATCCCGGGGAAAAGAGGCGGGGATGTGAGGCGAGAGCAGGGGGGCGATAAGACAAGGGGATGCAGAAGAGTGGGTGGGAGGAGGAGAGAAGGTAAGAGGCAAGTGGGGGAGGGGGTGGGGGAGAGAACGTGACAGCAAAGATGAGAAAATTCAGGAGGATAGACAACGGCGGACAGCTCACGTCCACATGACGACAGCCCATACCCACCAGGCCATCAAATGACGACAGCAGACGCCTACCGGTGTGTCACGTGATGACAGCCCCTGCCTACCAGTGACCATGATGACGATGACCAGGGCGACGGCGATGGCAACGCCCTCGTGCCATCCCTCATGCGCTCCCTGCACCGTGGCAGGGGCAGCGAGGGGACACCAGGAGAGGGCGAGGGAGAGGTTGGGGAAACAGGGGGAGGACACAGGGAGAGGGAACAGGGGCAGACCGTAGGACCACCAAGATAAGCATGCATTTTTACGCACGTGGGGCATGGAGATCTGACGTCCAATCATGCTTCAGAGCACGTCTAAAGAATATAAGATGGATATGTGTGGAGAGAAGAGGAGTAGACAGGGGAGGCATAAAGCAAGAGCAGAAGATCGTCCAACGAGGGAAAGCGCAGGAGAGGAGGGCGAGGGGGTGAAAGGGGGTCGATCCGAGAGCAGGGAAAAGGAGGTAGAGAGTGAAAATGGCAGGGTTAGACGAGCGGGTTACCTTGGAAATAATGCGGAAACAAGAGGGAGGGTTTAATTCTGAGGCGCCTTAAGTATAGAGTGGGGCCGAGCGGGGAGACGAGGGCTATACCTCGGCGATCATGCCGAAGAAGAGGGAGAGAGCGGTGCAGATCATGAGGATGATGAGAATAGTGTCCTGGCTCGCCTTCCACACGAACCACTGCGGGCAGGGACGACGCGGCATGGGGGAAGAGCGCAAGACAGAAAAAACGAGTGGGAAGACGGTGAGAGCAAGAACCCGGGAGTGGCTGCGATTGGCAAGCTGCTTGGCGTGGGAAGAGCTGGCCAGAGCAAGTGAGCAGCCGAAGCGACCTCGAGGAGTCTAGGTGCTGCAGGAAAGAGGCCATCTCCGGGTCCAACTGTAACAAACCCTGTGGAGGTGGGAACCGAACGAGGGTGGCGCAGCAAACTCTGGGACAAAAAGGGGCCACATGCCGGCCAAACCGAGGCAGTATGGAGAAAAGAGTATGGCAGTCGTGAATGCAGGCTGGAGGAGGAAGGAAGACGCGTGGCAGGCGGAAGGCGGACGTGGCTGGAGAAGGGCTGCACGCACCAGGGAGGGGCTTCACGCACCAGGAAGGGCGGGAGGGGCTTCTTGGGGTAGGTGTTGGCTCCATACGCCTCGGCGCGGCGCTTGAGGTCCTCTGCATCGTCACCAATGATTCCCACCTCGGGATCTACGGCCAGACCCGCACAAAGACCCTTGACCTGCATGGAGTAAGGGATGTGGGAGAGGGGGAAGAGATGCAAGGAGAGGAGGGCAACAGGCAGGGTGCACCTATGACTGCTGAAGTTCCTGTTCCTCCCTAAGACACGCGCACCACTAGCTGAACTCTGTGCTGGAAAGGAGCAGGCTTCAAAGGGAAAAGGAATAGGCTAGACAGGAAAGTTTTAGAAAGGAGTAGGCTGGTGAAGAGACGCAGGGAGGCGCGGCGAGGGCAACTCACCCCTCCCATGCGCTGGAGGTCGTCGACGTTGGCGTTGGAGCTGAGGTTCACCAGCTGCTCCCGGCTGTACGCAAACCCGTGCCGCGCTGCCTCCGCCTCGCTGCCGCTGTCCGCGTCATCCGAGATAGCAGCGCCCTTCTCCTGCTCCTGCTGCTCCTCCAGCAAACCCTCCTGCGTCTCCTGCTGCTCCTGCTGCTTCTCCGGTTGCTCGTGCAGCGGCTGGTGTCCCTCCAAATCGCGTAGCCCCACCTGTAGCGGACAATACAGAACAGTACAATAGAGTAAAATAGATAACCGGAGAAATGTTTGAAAAAACACTGACACAAGTGCTCCTAGTCACAACCGCACCCCGCTCAGAAAGAGTTCAAAAGAAAAAACATAGAAAAGATCCTGCGCTTCTTCACGCATAAATCACTGGAACCTCGACGAGTTAAGCAACTCCGAAATAGTTACTGCCATTGGGTAAGCAGCCAGAGAAGAGTCAAAGAGCAGAAAAGCCCGCACTCGGGCAAGGCAGGCATCTGCACGCACCTCCTCAATACCGCCATGGCGGTCGGCCATCGTCATCACGGCTCGTCTCGTCCCCCCGCTGCTCGAAACCAGGACCCGCGCGCGCTCGATACTCGCAGCAACGGCTGTGACGCGCGAAAGACCTCCTGTTGCGTTGGTTGGAATTCGGTCGGATAACCGGCAGTTAACCTGTTCTCTCGCAACTGGCGGCGTGGCGGCGTGTTCGTCTCCAGACTAGTAATCCTGATGGTGAGGCCTCTTAGGCTGCGTTGAACCCAGAGAATCCCTCGAGGCCAAGTTTTCCCACGAGAGTTTTAGGAATGAGAGCCGCAATTCCGCGTGTCCTGGAATGAGCCTGCGAGGATCTGTGAATCTAGGCTGCTCCGAAGGCTGATAAAGAGTGCACTTGACAGTATCTCCCCGCGGGGGGGAACACCACGCCCGCTTCGCCTCGCTTGTGAAAGCGCCGCGAGGAAGGGAACACACCAGCTCTTGAGGTGCATCGCAGGCTCTACTCGCTGGGCTTCGCCTTGCGGTCTTTCCAGATAGCCTGTGGCTTGGGAGCATGGAGCGGGGCACTGTGTACTGTACTCTGGCAGAATAGGGCGGTCCGGCCCCCGAAAGTTGCTCGCGCTGTTTCTGGCCGCAATACATGGCGAAGTTCGACTCTGGAGAGCTCCAAAAGACGAGTTAGCCCAGGATGAAGCGACGACTAATGGTGGTGGTGTGTGTGGAAAGAGCCACGTGAAGGCCGTACTGTAAAGCACCAGAGTAAAATGAAGACCAGTGACGTGTCACTTGAGGTCCTCCGCGAGTGTCGGTTGTTCATGTCGAGCGCAGCGCGCGGAGGAAGCAGCGGCGCATGCGGCACGCGGGCTGGTGCCAGTCGGTGCGCTCCAGCGAATCTCCCTCCCATGATGTACTCAGCGGTCTTTAGTGGGGAAGGGGGAAAGTGGGAGGCAAGAAGAAAACAAGATAGCACCTAGATTCTGGTTTGGTCATCCGTCATGCCAAACACGTCTCTTGCCGAAGCTCGCTTGAAGCTTGGGTTCACCCGAACCAGTCACAACAGCGCCACTGAGCCAACGAACCGAGCCAAACCATGTTCCTAACTAACCAGCCTTCCCAGCTTTGGTAAGCCCGAGCCAAGTCTGAGGTGAAGGTTCCTTCTAAGTGCGGACGCGCAGCTCGAGACAACGCAGATCGAGAGAATCGCGCGCTTCTACGGATATCCAGATATTACAAGACTCGACGTAATCGTCGGATGGGTTCCGTGCATCAACCCTTATTTTGCACATATTGAAAAATCACATTTTCCCCCCATTTTTTTTTTTTCCATTGTGTTTTCATTTGTCCACTATTAGAATTCGTAAGTCAAATACTAGATGATAAGTGATTAGGTAATTGGATACGTTTAAAAGTGGTAACATTATTTTTCACATTTTAAAAGTGCTTGTGTATTGCTGTATTGGTGCGAATAACGTCGCTGACATGTAATTAGTTGGTTTTTAGGGGAAGAGCAAATACACTCCTGCTAGGGTTTGTTTGTGACTCTAGCAACAGTGTCTCGTTCTTGTTTCGGCTCGTCCCTCCCTCGTTGCACCTCCTTCTTTGCTCTTTGCCTGTGCCTAGTTCTTGTTCGTACTAATTAGTCCTCACTACCTAGTCCTTGCTCACACTTCGTTCCTTGCTCATAGTACTACCTACTTTGAGCTCGAATATAGTTCTTGTTCCTTACCACGCCTATCTGCCACCTAGGCCAGACTAGTTGCTGGCTCCTTGCGCGTTTCACGTTGGCGCCTTGCGGGCTGGTGCGTTTCTCGCTGACGCGTCTCGCGCTGACGCCTTGCGCGCTGGCGCCTGTGCGCTGGCGCATTTTGCGCTGGCGCGTTTCGCGTTGGCGCCATGAATATGGCACCGTACATGCGCGTGCCACCATGAATATGGCACCGTGCGTGCGCGTGGCGCCGTGTGAGCCATCGTGGCATCTGCTTGTTGTGATGGTAGGCAAAAGGGGAGGAGGAAGTGGGAGGATGGAGAAGGAAGGGTACGTGCGACTAAACTACAGGTGAGCGAGCATACCACCGACTGCAGGTGAGAGTCGCTACAGCTAGGCGCATCGCATTTACTAGTTCATTTGCACTCAGTCCTACTTAAGCACCAGTTGTTGGCGCACTTGCTTTTGGTGCACTTGCTGTTAGCGCACTCGCTGTCGTCGCACTTGCTATTGGCGCCCTTGTTGTTGGCGCACTTGCTGTTGGCGTACTTGCTTTTGGCGCATTTGCTGTTGGCGCACTTGCTGTTGGTGCACTTGCTGTTGGCGCACTTGCTGTTGGCACACTTGCTGTTCGTGCACTTGCTGTTGGCTCACTTGCTGTTGGCGCACTTGCCTTTGGCGCACTTGCTGTTGGCGCACTTGTTGTTGGCGCACTTGCTGTCGGCGCACTTGCCTTTGGCACACTTGCTGTTACAGGATCGAATGTGTCGAGGAAAGGTTGCACTATCGATCAGTACAAGGCGCTTTTATACTTCCAAAGTACATCAGGTAACCAGGTTTATCTTATCCTAAGGGAATAGACCCTTCTAGAAGATAGAATCACCCTGCGTATAGCCACGCGAGGCTATTGGCTTTAAGGGATTACGGCAGGATTACGCCAGATAGCGCACCAGTACATCCCAAGCCTGGTCGGTCATATAATTATAATAGCAGGATAAACCAAAGGTTAATGGAAAATGGAGAATAGGAAACCAAATGAGATGAGATAAAAAGAGAAATGAAAGAGGAAGGAAATAAGAAAAGGGACAAGTGGTGTAATGGGGTCGTACTCTCACACTTCCCCCCCTCAAAGCTGGGTGGGAGAAGTAACACCCTGCTTGACAAGGTAGTCATGCAGAGGACGACGGGCGTTACCCATGTCGGACTCAGGGACCCAGCTGTCCTCAAAAGGATCATAACCCTTCCAATGGATGAGAAGCTCCACGGTGCCATTCCGACGTCGGCAGTGTGCTAGCACGGACTCGACCTCGTACTCGGGTTCATTCTGGACGAGGACGGGCGGCGGCGGCGGCGGTTGGCGTCCGACGAAGATCGTGTTTGGATCCCGATAGGGCTTCAGAAGTTGGACATGGAAGGCGTTGTGAATCTTCCAGGTAGCTGGCAGGCGTAAGCGGAAGGTAACAGGAGTGACCTGTGCTTCAACGAGAAAAGGCCCGCAGAAGCGAGGTCGCAGTTTGGATGGGAGATGGCTGATGTCAAGATTGCGTGTGTCGAGTAGTACTCAGTCTCCCATCGTGATGGTGTGGTCGTTGCGATGGCGATCGGCCTGGCGCTTTTGTTGCTACTAAATGTCGAGGAGGCGCTTGTGGGTCCGATCCCAAAGCTGATGCATGGTTGTGATGAAATCATGTGCAGGTTGTACTGTAGCGGATGTGGTCGGTTTCTGTGGTGTGAGTGGGTGGCGTCCGTAGCAGAGGAAGAACGGCGTCTGTCCAATAGCGGCATGTGTAGCGTTGTTGTAAGCAAACTCCAGAACGGGCAGGTGCAGGTCCCATTTGGAGATCTCGTCCTTGCATGCTGCTCGGAGGAGTTGCTCAACAATCTGGTTGAGGCGCTTGGTCTGTCCGTCTATCTGCGGAAGGTAAGTGGATGACATGGCAAGTTTGGTTCCGAGAACAGACATAGGTTCCTTCCAGAACTTGCTGGTGAACGTGGGGTCTCGGTTGGAGATGAGTGTGGTTGGAATGCCATGCTGTGAGATGATGTGACGAACGAAGAGTTGTGCTGTCTCCTCGGTGCGCGCCGTCGTGTGTGTCAGGATGAAGTGTCCCATTTTGGAGAACTTGTCGATGACGACAAGGATTGCGTCATGACCGCTGGTGGTAGGTGGTAACCCGGTGATGAAGTCCAGGCTAACCACTTGCCATGGCTGTTCTGGGACAGGAAGAGGCTGCAGTAGTCCCGCCTTTTTCTGCTTGCTGCTCTTCATCCGCTGACATGTATCACACGAGGTGACGAATTTCTGGACGTCATCTGCCATGTGGGGCCAATAGTAGTTGCTACCAAAGTGTCCGGCATATAGGACGTCGTGGTATTCTTCGAATAGTAACTGGCGCAAATGAGGGTAATCGGGTACCCAGATTTTCGTTAATCCTTTCCGGTACGCGATGTCACTGTCCCACTGTAGCAGATGTCGTTTTTCAGCCAAGGGGATTTCGGGGTCGATGGAGTACCCGTGTGTGAAGAGTCCCTTGAGTAATGGATTCATCCCTTCAATCTGAATCGCGGCAACGTGCGCAGGCCGGCTAAGAGCGTCTGCTTTGTTTTTGTGGCCGGGCTTGTACACGATGTCGTAGTGGAAGTGTGTCTCGAGGAAGTCGATCCACCGGACCTGCCGCCTGGAAAGGTTGGGTTGTGTCTTCAAGTATTTCAGGCTGCAGTGGTCAGTGTAGATGGTTGTTCTTCGTCCTTCGAGATAACATCTCCACGCTTTGAAGGCGATGACGATGGCAAGGGCCTCTTTGTCGTGTATCAGGTAGTTTAGTTCTGCTCCATGTAGTTTCTTCCTGAGGTAGGCGATTGGTTGCAATCCATTCCCCTGGTCTTGCATCAAGACTGCTCCCACTGCCTGGTCGCTGGCGTCAGCTTCGATTACGTAGTCGCGTTCGGGGTCTGGTAAGATGAGTACCGGTGCGGACGTGAGTGCCTGTTTCAGCTGCTCCACGGCTTCCTGGTGCTTTGATTCCCATTTGTAGGGCGTGTTCTTCTTCAGCAGATTCGTGAGTGGCACTGCGAGTTTCGCATACTGTGGCACGAACTTGTTGTAATAGTTCGCGAAGCCTAGGAACTGCTGCAACTCCTTCACGTTCTCGAGTGTCTTCCACGTACGTACGGCTTCGATTTTCTTGGGGTCAACGTGAACTCCTTGAGCGCTCACCAGCTGTCCTAGGAACTGGACCTTCTCAAGGGCGAATTCGCTCTTGGACAGTTTTACGTAGAACCGTTCTCGTCGAAGAATTTTGAAGACGCGTCGTAGGTGCTCGACGTGCTGCTTCATGTCGCGCGAGTAGATGAGGATGTCGTCCAGGTACACCACCACGCACTCGTCCAAAAGTGGTCGTAGAATGTGGTTCATTTCGGCTTGAAACGTTGCCGGTGCGTTGGTGAGTCCGAACGGCATTACCAAATACTCGTACGATCCGTACCGAGTTCGGAAAGCAGTTTTGTGGATAGAGTTGTCCGCCATCCGTATCTGCCAGTATCCGGACCGCAGATCCAGCTTGGAAAATACCGTAGCTCCCCGAAGCTGGTCAAGCAGGTCATCGATTCGCGGTATCGGATATTTATTCTTGATGGTCTGCTTGTTAAGAGCTCGGTAGTCGATGCACATGCGCAGGCTTCCGTCCGGTTTCGGTGTGAAGAGTACAGGGGCAAAGTATGGCGAAGTGGATGGCCGGATGAGTCCTTTGGCTAGGAGATACTCGATCTGTTTTTTCATGTCGGTCAGCTCCGTAGGGCTGAGCCGGTATGGTGCTCGAAAGGCCGGCTTCGAACCCGGTCCCTCCACGATCTCGTGTTGATGTGTGCGGTATGGCGGTAGCTCGTTCGGAAGATCGTCAGGAAGAATGTCTTGGAACTCCTTCAGTGAGTCCTTGATTTTTTCTGGAGGTTCC